TTGATATATATATATATCTGTGCCATAATCAAATCTGACATTATTTTGCTCGTTAGTTTTTTTTTTCGTGAGTGTATGTCTATATACCCTCTACACCCCCAAGTGCATGTCTTGTCAAGCCGCACTTGTCAGGCTCAGTGACACAGTGTGTGTGTGTTTGTGTGTTTTCAGCATATGTGATGGTCTCCATGATGCGTGCATGATGTCATCCATGCGTCCACATTATCCCCGCCCCCCCTCCCTTCAATCAGCGATCAATTGATCAGCTGCAATTCACAGCCCTCAGATACACTCTGACACCGCATCCAAGTGTGTGTGGATAAAATAGTGGTTATAAAAAGTCTCTACCCCCTGTCGAAATGCCAGGTTATGATATTAAAAAACAAACTGACGCATGACGCATCATTTCAACTCTTTTCCCACCATTAATGTGACCTATAACCTGTACAACACATGAGAAAAAGAAAGAGAGTATAAACAAACAACTCAGACAATGTGTTTGCACAAGTGCGCACACCCTCTTATAACTGGAGATGTGGCTGCATTCTGAATGAACCAATCACATTCAAACTCATGTTAAACGGGGGTCCGCGCACTTGTCACCATTTAAGGGCCTCTCATTAACCTCAAATGAAGTTCTAGGAGGCTTTCTGCACCCTTCTGGTGGATATTTTTTGAACAATGACAGCCATCTGATGATGTGGTACCTCTCTGCCCACCATGGCTAGTGCTACAAGGTGTGATTTATAAAAATGTCAGCAAAATACACCCATACACACCCGTACACATGCGCACAAACAAAATGGCATTCCCAGAATTCCCTGTACCTCTCCATGTCCGTCAGCCGCGATGAATCCCGAAATCCTTTGGCGAAGGGGTTACTGTCGATCTTCAGCTTGGTGATCTGACGCACAAACACATGCACGCTACGTTACTTTTCATGCTGAGACGCCTTGGCATATTACACAGAGGTAGCTGAAGCGAACGCACACACACACACACACACACACACACACACACACACACACACACACACACACACACACACGCGCGCACACACGCACCCACACACAAAACACCACACACACAAAACACACACACACACACACACACACAAAACACACTTTGCTCGAATAGAAAAATTCACGCAGAGACGGTAGAAACTTTCTTCTGACTGGAAGAAATATTAAACAACTTAGTAGCCTGCTTCACTTAGAAGAACAAGAAAAGAATGGATTCTTGATTGCTTTTGACACTACAGTGTGGCTGTAGAAGGACTAAAAGTGTTGATAATTCTGAACACAGTCTCAATACGAGATTCATAACTTCAAACCCCCTTTTACGTACCGTAACACACAGCTTTGATTCTGCCTTCCCAAGGCAAAAAAAAATGTCCAACTTTGTTCCTAAATTCCGTGTGAAAGGGGCTAGCGGCGGGGGCGACTCACCAACTGGTTCTGGTACGCGGTGACTGCGGTGAAGACGGTTTCTACAAAGACGAAGGTGCGGAACTCCTCCGACTTGAAGTTGAGCAGTGAGGCCGTGTGCTCCTTCTTCTTGATAATGTGAACCCGAGGCTGGTACTTGTGCATGGAGTTCAGGATGATCTGTAAGCATACACGCAGTTGAGCCACGGATGACTACAGAGGGCATTTTGATCATTTTTAAGTGCGGAAATTAATCGAGTAAAAAGGCTTGTCCCTTGATACGTTGATCAAGCAAAGTGTAGTTCAAATGTTGACCTATAGAGGGCAGTCCAACATCCTGGAAAGCGGAATCGACTCAGAAAGGGAAGTCGTACTTTATCTTTGAGTGCCAGTGCATCGGCATGTGAGTATTAATCTTATCGTTTGTTATGACTTCAATTTAAGTTACAGACTTTTTTGTCCATTTGCTGACGTAATTCATTCGCATTTATGCTCAGGTGTCATCTGTGTTCGTTTGCATATCAGGGACTTTTGGTGGTCGTGTCGGAGTTGGGTTAACATTGCTAATATTAAAAGCATGTTATAAACAAATACATCTTAAACTCATGAAAACAATTTATTTGAAAACAATGGATGTAAATGTATTAAATATTTATGTGTGCCAGCTACACGGATCAGTATTTTCATTTTATTTTTAAATGTAATGGGTTATATTTGTGATGGAAATCATAATGTAAATGCGTTCTATTGAAAGTTATTTTTACTTTGAAACTGTACAATGTGAATAATTTCTTCTAATTCCTTCCTCTTTCGCGCACATTTAAAAATGTTTTATCCGTGAAACCGAATATCCTACTGCACCAGCTGCAGGTGTTTATTTTGTTTTTTTCTTTTCAACGTACTTGATCTATTACACTAAACATTGTACCCTTAATGTAAATCAATGCTTAACTGGTGGTATAAAACCAAATGTAATAAGATTTTTTTCATTCTCCAAATTATGAATGGAATTTTAAATTATCATTTGATTCCACTGCTAAGCTTCAGTGCCTAACAATAAGGAAATAAAATAACTAAATAAGTGAATTAAACAAACAAACAAAAAAGCTATGATCCGAATTTTGGAGGGAAATGTTAAAAAAAAAATAGGATCTGCTTTTTCAAAAATAATTATTTTTGTCTGCTTCAAGAGATATTGATTTGTAACAACTTAAAAATATGTCAAATGCATGTACAAATCGTTGTCAGAGCCATGTTAACTGTCAAAAATTTAATGTACTGTATTATGAAAATGACTGAACCCTGTCAAGTATACATTTATGATTTGTTTAATATCTCATCATAATTGCATGCTCTCCTGTAACATTTAACGACATACAGGCACAATGTGTCATACACACAAACTCGCACACGCACAAACCAAAATACAAACTGACGTGTCCGTGCTGGTCGAGCTCGTTGTTGGTCAGTTTGACCTTCTCGAAAGAAACCATTTGCTTCATCAGTTGCTCACCGCTGAACGGAGAATCGGGATGGACGTACAACCTGTGACGCAACAGCACAACAAAGGCGTCACATGCTCGCCTCTGATTGGCCAAGAGCCCTCAGAGTAGCCAATCGGAGCTCGAATTTGGCCAAGGAAATGATTCAAATTATATATTGCGTTTTGATCTTTTTTAATCGGTCTTTTATGATAGAATAAAAATAGCAAAATATCATATATATATATATATTTTAATTATCTTATTTTAAATGAAACATTGGTTATTCGTGTAATTCTATGCACTGTGAAAAATATTAGTCGGACATTGGTAATTGTGTTCACATTCATTCCACGTTCCATTGGTATTCAATTTATATATTGATAATTGTTAATTTATTAAGAATAAATAAAGCGAATTACCGAGTTGCAACTCCAATAAATGCACTCGACATCTGCAGCCCATGAAGCAGAGGTGTCAAAATCATTTTCATCACAATGACTATGGTATATAATTGTATCTCATGTTATTACCATTACCCATGGACTGTTATTTTTAGTAAATACATCGTAAACAACAAATTTGAAATCAGGAGTTTTGAACGACACAAAGAGACGTTAGCTGACTAGCTAATCATATGACCAGTAAAGAACGCCTGTGAAGCGGAGTGATATCTACAGTTTGTGAAAAGGCTCAGTGAAGTTGCTGTCCAATCAAATTGTTTGGTTGGATCTAACTGCTGTATAATGCCTTTTAGGGTCGTTATTTGCTGAAAAGGAAAATACAAAAAAAAAAAAAAAAAGTCGAGGGATAAATGTTTTATAGTTGATATTGCTATTTGTCTTACCTGGCAGGTAGAGGAGGATCGGCCTTGCCGGCCACCAGCCACGAGGATCTGTGGTAAGCGTATCTGTAGCGCTTGTTGTCCACCGGGACGATGTCCATCAATACGATGTACTTGCACTCTTGCTCCACACCCGAAAATGACACACGGATGGTCGGGAACATCCGCCTCGAACACACACACGCACAGCAACACATTTGATTAATTAATATTAACATTTTGTAAATGAGCAGGCATTTTCTTTTGAGCCGTCTTTCGGCGCTCTCAATGTCAAACACTGAAGAGAAAAATCAATATGTAGGATGGAGTATGAAATATATAAGCAACTTAAAATACCAAATATTCAGTGTTTACTACTTTTATCATTCTTCTTATACAATTAAACATCCTATGGGCATCAAAATATGGTAAAATTAGAAAGCAATAAAAGTCGCCAAGTTTATTTTTAGGAGGAGGAGGGGGCGGGCAGTTCATTGGACTCAAGTCTTAAATTGTGACGTACAAAAATATTTTGGAAATAAAGAGTAAAGGTACCAAAAGTCCACGCTGCTCATTTAAGCAAACTGGAAAAAAAAAATAGTCTTATGAAGAAGCAAATTGTTTTATGAATGATTTAGTATTGACAACGCATTGGTTTTTAATTGATGAAAATGTCAAAGTACATTTTTTATTATTATTATTATTATTATTATTATTAGTAGTAGTAGTAGTAGTAGTAGTAGTACACTCTATTTAAAATACTTTGTAAAGTGATTTCTTCACAGTCTGGAAAATGATAAATTCATTTAATATTAAAATGTCCACAATGTTAATGGTTTTTTTTCATTGTCAATCATAAACTAAAATCAAAATGACACTTATAGTGCATGAAAACTATATTGTAAAAATACTAACGCTGGTAAATGTTTAAGACTACCAGCCTGCTGAAGGTGTACTATTATTCAGTAGATGCATACATGAATTAAATAGATTCCATAACACAAGGCCTTATTTGTTGGGGAATATTTGTTCACCTTCCCGACTTGGTGATGATCATCTCAGTGCCGAGCTCGTGGAACTTGTCCCAGAGTTCTTTGGTCTCGAGGCTGCACGAGATGTTGGCCATCTCCTCGCTGCACGGCGTCGGCGGGCTGGTGGGGATGAGGGGCTCCGTGCACGCCCCCGCGGCCGACAGCGGCGCGCTCCCGACCAGCTCTCCGGCCAGCGGCTGCAGAGCGTCCAAAGACGAAGACGACGAGGAGGACGACGATGACGATGATGATGAAGAGGAGAGGTCCGAGAGGGGCGGCTGACTGCACGACGACTTCTCCACGAACTGCTCTGCGAAGGGAAACGTGGAATTTGAATTCATTAATCAACATTTTAAAAAAGAGAAATTTGCCAGAACATATTCCAATTTATTTCTAGGGAGGTTTCGCTTTTTTTTCTCTCCTTCGAGGGAAAACATTTTTAAAAGTAAATAAAAGGAAAATGTGTTTACGTACGGTGTGTCTGGCATCCGTGATGGATGTTATATTGCGTCATCAAGTTTTTTTTTTTTAGTAATGACCGAAATATGAGGGAAACAATTCTCAATTCTTATTGTTTTTTTTCATGAAACCATTTTTAAAGGGTGCATGTATTTTAAACCCATATGTTTTTTTTCATTTAACACCAAAATCACAGATGTATAGGGAAAAAATCCCTCACAGTAAATCATTAATGCTTATCCAAATAATTAAGTTGCAATACAGACAGATATGAAAGGAAATAATGCGCTTCAAATTCTGTAAACACTCAAGTTTTCAAGAACTAAATTCTCATTATTCACGAAGTAGCATCACTCCCCAAAACAGAACTGAGAATAAAATAATGAAACGACGTGTGCACGAATGCAAATGATTGACAGACATAATTTCCGTTGCCGAACTCAATAGCTCAGCTAAAAAGAAAGACAACAGTTATATACAAACCCTAAAAGGAGCTGCAATTCAGTATATTAACTCAATATAAAAACTGAAATGAAAATTCATACAGCAAACGCTATAATTAAATACGGCTTTGTTGTGTGTGTTAAACCGAATGCAGTTGTCGCGTAAACAAAAACAAATTCCACGCATGAATACAAGTGGTCATTCGCTATAACACCGAAAAAAAAAACAAAAGTAAGCACGATGCAAAAATAGGGAAAGTCAACTTGTATGAATACAAGTTATCAATAAATAGCTGAGCTATATGTCTTCAGTAAAACACAGCACGGCTCGAGAAATCCGGATGAATGAAAGTGCCATCAAATATACAGTATGCTGTCATTTGTCGTGTTCTTATTTCATCGATGAATATAATAACTAGCATAGAATACATTGTCATCAAATACATTTTTGACACGGAAAAAAAAACCCTGAAGAGCCCACTGCAAAATGATTACTTTCTCTTCATTTAAATGAATACGGTACAGAACAGAACGTTTGTTCGGAAAATGTTTTTTTTTTTTTTGTACGCGTCTTGTTCTTTTTGAAATTTTAGGTGTTTTGAATCAAACGAACTTAAAAAAAAAGTTCAAGTGACGCAATGCCAAACGTCACGAGTGTAACTGTATTTTATCTCCATTCAAAATGTCAAGAACCAAAAATCGGGAAAAAAAATGTCACCTTTCCATATTCGACTCCGATTGACACCAACTTCGAAAATGAAATTCAACCAGCACCAAACGTAACGAGTCTAACTATGTTTTGTTTCGTCCGTTTGGGCAACTTGCACGTACCGAGTGGCTTGATGGTGCTGTCCGCGCCGTCCTTGTCCTTGCTCGGCTTGCCGCTGGACATTAGCGCCGCGATGGAGAAGGCGTTAGCGCGTGAGGAAAGCTGCGGCTTTGAGGAGCTGCGGTACTCCATGTCGCTTCGCGAAAACAAAACAAAACAAAACAAAACAAAAAAAAAACTCCGCACAAACTCGACAATAAGACAATAATAAATCCCTTTGCTTGATGTGCTTTATAAAGGCCAATGTAGTCGCATGATGGAGGAGAAAAAGAAGGTGGAAGCGAAGGAGGACATCCAGGACTTGCAGGTGACTTCCAAGCCGGTCCGGAGGTGCTTTACAGATTTTTGTGGTCAGCGTGGAGCCAACTTAAGCCTTTTTTTCCCCCTTTCTTCACTCCAATCATTTTGCAGAGGTTCATACGTCACGCTGTCCCGCCTTGGTAGCCAATCAGAGGAGACCTTGCGGGGGGAAGGGCCAAAGAAGACGTCACGGTCAACAGGAGCTGCAAGAGGCAAATTGGAAGTCATCTGCTGTCTTCTTCTACTCCACAGGTGTCAAACTCAAGGCCTGGGGGCCAGATCCGGCCCGCCATGTCATTTTATGTGGCCCGCGAAAGCAAATCATGTGTGTCATCTTGCTAAAATCTGTACCAAAGTGTCAAATTGTCATGTGTAATAAATAACGTTGAGATTTTGCAATAATTTTGCTACCCAGTTTACACTCACTTGAACAAAAATTGAACAAACTGTTATAATGGACTTGACTGATGGCCCTCCGAGGGAAGACGTAACTCCAAATTGACCCGCGACTAAGATACGTTTGACTGTTCTACTCCTTTTTCTAGGGGATCAAAACATATTATTATAGAGATTAAATCACAAAAGCTTCCTGGCTTTGGGGGAGAAGAACATAAAAAAAAAAAAAGTCCCCCAGCAAAACAAACAAAATTATATTGCTTGTAATATCCCAAACCAAGCATAAAATCAGCACAAAAAATATATAAATATAAAACACAAATGTTAAGGAGTTTCATTAAAAACCAAAAACAAAGAACAAAAAAAAAAAAACACATCTCGAAGAAACAACTGCCCGAAGTCAGATGGGACCTATCCAGCATGCCTGCCGCCCTCATGATATGAAAATGGATGGATGGGCGGATGGTTATCACATCTTTCCTCTTTTGAAACCCTTTACTACATCGCCATACATTCAATGTCCTGTTCTCACCTTGTTTCTCCTTTGGTAGACATTTTAGAAAGCATCATGGAAGTTGACATGTTTGATCTGCTTTCGCGGGCCACATAAAATGATGTGGAGGGCCAGATCTGGCCCCCGGGCCTTGAGTTTGACACCCAGTAGTGTATTGTGTCCTCTAAAGTGATGCAAACGTGTGTGTGTCCTCCATGTGACTCTGTGCGTTTGTTTGAGAACGATGTGTGAAGGTCTCAAAGCCTTTAGTAGAGTCCAGAATGCAAATGCGCCTGTGCAGATATTTAATAAGAGACCCACGCTGACAAAGTGGATTAGCGTGCGTTGGCGTCTGCAGTGGATAATGTGCTAAAAGCTTTCCCTTGTGCTGCTTGCTGGATATTATTCACACTTTGAGGGGCCGGCGGGGCCTTGAAGGGGCAATGCGGCTTCAAGCCAAACAGTCAAGTCACTCACACAAACTGCAAGACTCTCAAAATGGGACTTTTAAAATCATTTACAAGGGAGGACCATGGGAAAGGATGTTTTAGTAAACGGCTGCAGTGAACAATGCAACCTCAAGTTGGAACAATTCAGGAAAAGTCCACCTTTCAAATGAGAAAAGCTTTAGCCGCCATAATGCCGGAGGATTATCTCTAAGCACTAGCATTTAGCCTTTTAGCACTTGTTCCAAATATGTCGCAAATACAACTTCTTCAGAGGAAGGGATTTTTTTTAATTTATTTTTATTTTTTTTAGGATTTTAGCGCTTCTTAACTTTAAACTATTTCAAGCAGTAGTTTGAAAACAACAAATAAGTGACGTTAGCATTTAGCCTTTAGCGCCTGGTCCAAATATGTTGTCATTTAAATTTCCTCAGGGTGTTTTGATTTGATGAAAACAATGGCTAATAGCAGACAGACATTAGCATATACATTTTTGCTTTAAGAGTATCAGGGAGGGATGAATATTTAAGTATTTTAGCGGTATTAGCTAGATTAAAACTCTGACAAAGATAGCTAACAACAGACATTAGCTTTTAGCCTTTGTTGTAATTACAACTTGCATCGGGTGTGTTTTTTTCTGAGTTTCAGAAACTAAAGAATATTTAAGCTTTTTAGCACTTTTTGCCGGACTTTATCTATTCAAACACTCAGGCTTTGCCATGAAAACAATGATCAATAGCAGACTTTAGCATTTAGCCTTTAGTGCCTGTTCCAATCATGCTGCAATTAAAACTTCCTCTGGGTTTTTTGCTTTCTAAGTGTCATAGAAAATAAAATATTTAGTATTTTAACGCTTTGGACTTCTCCATTTCGTTTAAAAGTCATGAAGCTGACTCAAAGAAGATGATGGTATTTAGCCATTAGCACCTGTTCCAAATAGGTGGAAATTATAGCTTCCTTGGGAGGGTGTTTTGATTTCTCAGTGGCACAGTGTACAGAATGATCTCCGTATTTTTGCGCTTTTATGCAGATTGAATTGTTTTCAAGCATTTAAAAACAATGATCAATCGTAGATCTTAGCATTTAGCCTTTTAGCGCCGATTTCAGATATGTAGGAATTCCAGCTCCTCATGCGGTGTTTTAATTTCTGAGCAGTTGAGTGGTAAAAACATCACTATTTCAGCACTTTTAACCAAATATAAATGTATTTGGCTAGTAATATATGCTAGCATTTATCCTAGCTAGCGCGGTTCCAAACATGTTCCAGTGGCAACTTTATTCTTGCAAGATGACACCCTTTTCTTGACAAAATACAACCTTATTTTTGTAAAAAAACAAAGCAAAAGACATATTTATTGTAAAAATGACTATTCTCAAAATAGCTTTTTTTTCTTTCTTTAAAAACAAACAAAACGTCTCTTCCCCTAATATTACAACTTTTTTTTTTACCAAGTCCTACTCAATTTATCCCCCTCCAAAAATCGGACTAGTTTTGGAAAATGTGTCATTTTAGCACTGTAATGCATTCATAGCATGTTAGCCATTTTGTTCATGCGGACAAAGACTATAAGCAGAGTTGGGGGCTGTACAAAGACTTAAGTCTGGCCCGGTCAGGCATACGGGTGACAGCCTTTGTGTAATAAACAGAATCTTGTGTGCGGTAATGGGGATTTACATTGACAAAACAGGGGCATGTACATACATTACACGTCTTCCTGTAGGCAAATAGTCGGCGTAATCTGCTGGAAAAATGGCCGCGCGAGGCCAAAAAGGTCGGCTCGCGACAACAGCCATTTCATTACGGGCCGGGCTCAAACGTCTCGCCGGGCAATTCAATCACAAAGCGATTATTTTTCCACCAAACTCCACTCTCGGGGGGAATTGGCCGTCGCGGGCGGCCGACCTCGCGGCACGGAGGCCATTTATCCAGCAGGATAATGGTGGGGATGCTTTCATTGTCATATCCCTGAGTGCAACGCAGATCTTGTTATGTGCCACTCACCCATCACACGCTTTTCATTTCGGATCCTTTCTTAAGGCATTTATGGCTCAAGTTTAAAAAAAAAAAACTGTATTAAAAATCCCCTCACCTGGCAAATTGTTACTTTGTTTTTAGTGAGCGTTTATTTCCAGTTCATCCTGAGTAAAAGCATTCTACACGTTTTGTAGTTAACGAAACCACATTGAAACTTGGCTACAAAACACATCATTCTAATAGGCGTTGATGGGCTAATAAAACCAGCATGCATGTTGTGGTGATATAACCCTCTACGCCATGTATCTTGGAACACAAAGTGTGCAACACATTTACAAAGTAGACAATGTGAAAGTACGCACAGATATATATTCTTTATCCTCTGCGAAAAATGACAAATATTACTGCATCTTACAAAGCTGTAGCGACCCTTTTCTTTGTGTATTTATTACCTATTATATTTTATACCTGGTAGCCAAGGCACACACGCCAAGAGAAGCACAATGCCCATTGAATTACCATGAAGTACAAATCAATTTTTTACATTCCATTTAGTTACAGTATGTCATTACGGTATAATTTTATAAAGTACAACACTGTCGAGGGCAATTTTTTTCTGATTAAAACACATAACCATTGTTGCACTTAAATGATTAGTTCTAATGCACAAGGAAAATAGCAGCGGTTTAAAGGTCCATGCTAATATTTGTCAGCTTGCCTATGGTATTTTGCATTATATGTTAGCATTAAGCTAGGAGACTTTTTTTTTTAATATGGTTCAGTCGAATATTTTGTGTTGAAATATACAATGTTTAATTCTCATGTGCCAGTTTTGGGAACTAAGGAATACTTTGAAAAGTCTACACAGCCCGTGGGGGGGGGGGGGCTAAACTGTTCCAACAGTTTTTTGTAATCCACATTTAGATCGCACATTTTCACCTATCGCGAATGGGTCTGGATTCTGGGACATATGTAATAAAAAGGGGATCACTGGAAACGAATTAGTTTAAAAATGGCTAATCATGTGAAAATGCGAACACATTTTTGCCTCTTTGCTGCTTGGAAATGAAAACAGCCAACATTTTGGACCCCGGGATGGATTATTTCCATTTCCATTCATTCCAGTGAAAATAAATTCCAATTAGATGACTGAACAACACTTCACAGTCCATTCTTATCCACCTGCTGCTAGCACGAGCACACACACACACACACACACACACACACACACACACACACACACACACACAGACTGTCTGGTTCATATGACTAATTAGCGCAGCGTCACACTGCGCCGCTGCTTTTTTTGCTGCTTTTGATGTTAATTGCTGCGTCAGTCAGTCGGGTTAAGTTCAAATGCAGGACCAAGCACCCACCGCCCCTTCCCAGCCCCTCTCGTCCCCCCTCGCCCCCTGAGTCTCACCCCCCCTTATTGTAACATCCACCATAATCTACTTGTACACCCAAACACGACACTCTAGTTCACTTCAGTTCAGCTGCGCATGATATTTTTGGTAACGGGTGGCAGTTGGTGGGGTGAAGGGGGACAAAGCAGAGAATGGGGAGAAGCTCAAAAAATGGATAAAGCGATGCCTTCCATTGCTGTTTCCTCTTTGTTCGGTTCCTTGACCCCCTCTTGTGAGATTCAGATTTCATCGCAAAGAAATGTTTGTTCAGACATTTCCACTGCCATTCCATGCAAGAGTTTGACCCTCACCACAGATTGACTTTTCTTACAAAAAAAAAAAAAAAAAAAAACATAATCACTCAACGATTTTTATCCTGCGTGATTATAACCTTTCTGGTGGTGAAATTTTCCGATTTTTGTTTTGTGCAAAATGATGATTTGGAGTTTTTTTGGGGTTTTTTTTTTTTTTTT